TTCCTCCCGTTTTATTAACTACCAAACCAACTAATTTAAACCTAGCGCTTACCACGTTGTTACACTCTCACAGCCACATTCATAATGAATGACACATTCTACGCCATGCAGCTTCTCTCTACCAACCCTCTAACTGAAATCACCCTAGCGCTACGTGCTGCCATCGAACTCAATGATCATGCAAACTAACCCCTAAGCCATTGATTAAATACATATAGATAGACCCATGCTATTGTTTGGAGCGAACAGGCCAACGGCCGGCGAACAAGAGATGGCGCACCAACAGTCGGCCGTCAAACGCCGGCGAAAACCTTTTACACCAACCGCGCGCGTAGATAACCCAAATCACAGCAACAATACATTTAATCAAGCTACCACTCGACAGAGGGTGACGAAAAAAATGTGTAAAAATCTCATAATAAGCATTTATATAATTTACAACGTTGCCAGATGAGCCTAACACAACTTTGCCGTTATTTCTAGTCGATTAGATTTTATTTCGTTTAAAAGTTTCTGGTGAATAAATGGAATTATTATAATGAATAAACAATACAAACAAATTATTACTTGTTATTTTAAATACTTGTTAATGTTGATGAAAACATAAATGGTAATTAAAGTTATTCTAAATACGGTCCGGTCCGGTAGCTCAAATTTTACAGTACGAGTGGTATGTTTCAGGAGGAGTAGGTAGCCGAGTCTTTAATTTCGAAACGAGTACTGCAAAAAGAGTTACCGGACGTATGTTGTTATGTATTTTATTTCATACTGTCAACATACTTTTTTATTCGATAAAATTATTATTATTTTGAGAAAAAATCCAAATCGAGTCACTTTTTCTGACATCGTTAGCAACCGCTCTTTGGTAAATGTTTTAATTTGTTTATTCGTGCAAATCAGCATCATATGTTTAAACACATAGTACTTATAACACTTTACAGGACTTATTGTTTTGTATAATCCGACTCGATGGACGAATGTTTTGTGCAATCCGTCTCGAAGGACCAATGTTTGTGCAACTCGGCTCGTCCTACCAGTGTTTTTTGTAATCTGGTTGATACGACAATGTGGTACTTTGATATTGCTCCAAGGACCTTTGTTTTCTTGCGTGCGAGATAATAGACAGCGTTCGATTTCGATGTTTAATACAGGACGGTTACAGAAGTACTAAATTTACATTTGTATTTACAATAACAGGTAAAGCAAAAGAGACCCAAAAGGGTCAGTGGCCGCTTCCGGAAATGGAACACTTGTCCTTTTTGGCTCAATTTTATCGGACTTGTCCGTTTTTTTGATTTTACCGGAATCGTTCGATCCAGTAAAACGTCAAACTTGACATAGAATGAAGTAAAATAAATAAATTTTATGATGTAAATACAATTAAGTATATCGATAATTCGCTACTGAAAATTTATTGAAATATAATTTGTGTTAAAAAAAGATTTTTGTGGTTTTATGGTTTATTAAATGTAATTAGAATAAATAATATCAAGAACTTGTATTATATATTAAAAACATTCATTGTAAATAAGAAAATTATAACCATAAAACCATACAAAATTTTCCTGCGACCACTATTCAAAATCCCAGTTTACCAATAGGAATTAAGGCACAAAGATGTTTCACTGAATTTATTACCGATTTTTCAAGAAAAGTATGCTTATAAGCCTATAAGCGTCTAATGGATTAAAACAACAAATAATATTCACAATTTATTTGTTTTATGTGTTCATTATAATAATCCCATTTATTTACCAGAAACTTCTAAATGAAATAATATCTGGTTGACGAGAAATATCCGCAAATTTGTGTTAGGCTCATCTGGCAACGTTTTCGGTAGGTAGGTATCAATGGAATAATGCGATTAGGTATACTGACCGTTTTAAGGAGTGCTCGTCCAATAGTGCGTAAACTAAAAGATTTGGTAAATTTTCTTGGAAGAGTTTGTTTCTTCAATGAAAATTTATGGTTTTTAACTCTTCGGTCGCTTGAAAGTCTCGCCATGTGAAAATAGATTATTTGATAACCTGTTTCGTAATAATTGTAAATACGAACAAAAGCATATTTGCATATTCTAAACAACTGGCCATATCGATTCCAAACTTGTACAGATATGTTTTTTAATGTTTCTGTTTTCAATGAAATAAATTTTATTTGCAAAATACTTAATGTCTAACGACATATCATGCATACATACTACCCCATTTACTATATTTTTAATCTGTGCATTTTTCGCTTCATTCGTAGGAGCCAAGTAATAAGTATCAGTGAGACCGGCGGTCTTTCAATAGCTCGTAAATGAAAAGATTTAGTAAAGTTTCCTAGAACAGTCTGTCTCTTCATAAAAACATTTAGACATTTTTACTATGAAATATAGGTACAATACGCTATATTCCACTGTTTGTTTTCTTTGGGATATGAGTAGTTCTTGTGCCGAAGTGAAACACCAAAAAGTCTAAAGTCCGGAAATCAAAGTGAATTTTAAAACACTTAAAAACGACTTCTTTGTTTATTTAAATATTGTCCTGTAACGTCCTGCGACGTGGAATGGAGTTTCTTAATGTACAAAAGTATGTTAGATAATAACCGAAAAATTTTCTTGATTAAAACTAAAGGAAACACAATTATTACTTGGAATAAAAATAAAGAATATCAAGAACTTGTGCTATGTATTAAAAATATTTAATTTCAAATAAGTAAATTATGTTAATAAACCATAAAACCACAAAAATCTTTTTTTAACACAAATTATATTTCAATACATTTTCAATAGCGAGTTATCGATATACTTAATTGTATTTACCTCATAAAATGTGAAAGAAAATGTCTTATTTTTGACTTTATGCGGCATATGTTACCCGTTTTTTAAGATATATATGAATGCATAAGTTTTGTGTTTAGTATATATCTGCCCGTCTCTAGTCTAATAAATTTTCTAAAATAATGTAGTAAGTTTTAAAAAAATGCATTTAAAAGCATTTTCCTTTGTATTATTAGGAACAAAAGCGAGCACACGAAAGCGTAGAAAAAATTTCCAATGTGTTATTTACATTTATTTTACTTCATACTGTGTCAAATTTGACGTTTTACTGGATTCGAAGGAGTCCGGTAAAATAAAAAAAAACGGACAAGTCCGGAAAATTGAGCTAAAAAGGACAAGTCCTGTAAAATGTTACTATGTGTTTAAACATTTTTGATGCTGATTTGCACGAATCAACAAATAAAAAAATATGTTGACAAACGTCCGGCAACTCTTTTCGCAGTACTCGTTTCGAAATTAAAAACTCGGCTCCCTACGGTCGCCTCGTCCTGAAAAATCTCACTCGTACTGTAAAGTTTGAGTATTTATAATAATGTTAGCACTAACAAATATTTAAAATAACAAGTAATAATTTGTTTGTATTATTTATTTTTATTCATTATAATAATCCCATCTGTCGAGTGGTAGCTTTATTAAATGTATTGTTGCTGTGATTTGGGTTATCTACGCGCGCGATTGGTGTCCAAGCTTTTCGCTGGCGTTTGACGGCCGACTGTTGGTGCGCCATCTCCTGTTCGCCGGCCGTTGGCCTGTTCGCTCCAAACAATAGCATGGGTCTATCTATATGTATTTAATCAATGCCTAAGCGCTACGTGCATTAGACCAGACATGCATACTTGGTTGCCTATGTTTAGCGATTTCCATTTTGTGATTGAATTTTTTTTTTTTCAAATTCAAATTATTCAAATGTGATTTCGCGCCGCTGTTAATTAATTTCAGCGCGAAAACTTTGATTTAAATTCGGTCACCACAATACTTTCCTCGTCTTCATTTAATTTTGCCTGTATAGTCTCTTCCAAGGTATCAACTGCCCTCCGAGGCTCTGCATGATCAAGCAAAAACTGCATTGCTTCGTAATACCATATAGATGGTTGATACACCTACGCATTGATTATTTATTACGAAATGATGGCATTGAGAAGTAATCAATTACAAACCTCATCATTTCCCATCCCACTGTGCAGGGATTGTAAATGTTTTTGTGGTGAAGGAAAAAATTCGTTTTCAGGCCATGAAATTTTTCCTTCACATCTTGTAATGAAACACGAGGTCTTTGAACCGCTAAGGCACTGGTTATTGCCTCAAGTGCCACCTTTTTTGCGTGCCTGTTTTTGTACTGGACAGATTTCACAACAGGCAGGGATGTTTTCTCCATTCCTCAATTAGGCACTGTACTTGTTCCCAACTCCACGACATGGTTTTTTTAACTTACGTCGTACTGTCACTGAAATTACACGGGAACTACCTAAACAGTCCGCCTCTGCAGAGAACATAGAGAAGCGTCATAGTTTAAATTAAATGACGGTTGTGGACTCCTCAATTTATGTTGGTAGCAGTGTTTGTTTCTAACTAGGGATAAAAGTAACTAGAAGAAATGTCATAATATTTTTAATGACGCGTTTTATTTCCAACAAATTGACACTAAATTTACCAGAATATTACAAGCTGCTTACTGTTTCCTTGACTTTCATTCAGGTCACACGAATTACAATTATAGTGAAGCAAGGTTTTTATGGGCGTCGACTATTTAAATTTGGCGCTTGCCTTTGGCAGTTGAGGACTCCAGTGTTAATAAGGGTGGTTTTGCAAAATCAGCCTCTATGTCGCTTCTCTATGTTCTCTGGCCTCTGCATTTAAGGTCATGTTCTGCCGCTACGAGAGTATCGCATCTATGCGCATGTCTGCGCAAATTGTCTGGGCGTCGATTTCTCAATATATTTACCCAATATTTATTTAGAACACGTTCTAAATAATTTTCACGAAAATTTACAAAATATTTTGCTACATTTTTCACTTGTATGCAACGCTGAATTTTTTTTACAACAAATTTTCTCGTAAATTTTCATGTAAATTTTGCATCGTGTCAAACGGGCTTTAAGGTGAAAAGTCCTCAGCTTCAGCAGTAACAAAAATACCAATTTTTTGGATGATTTGATATATTTCTGTTAGGTAAGTAGCAACTGTAGTAAAAATTTTTGTGCATAATGAACATTATTATAGCTATTATTAAATTAAATAGAACATCAGTTTACATCACAGCAACTAATAGTACATTATTATACGTATTTCATATAATAATGATTATTGTGGCAGGAATGAGTTTTGACCACGACGAGCGCAGCGAGGAGTAGCCCAATAGAATGAGTGCCACAAGTCGCCATATGAAAAGAGTGTAATATTCTATTTTTTCTACTTTGCATTGTAAATAAATGATAAAAATATATTCTAAAAAAAATTATTTTCGATTAGGAATTTTTAACAGGCGATTAATAACAAAATCAACATTTTCGTGATCATTTAACACAGAAGGGAGCAAATAGATGAAATTTTGGCTACTTATTCTTAACAATGTTCACTGGCAATCTTTCGACTGCCCGCATAATAACATTGCCAATAAAATCAATGAAAAAGGTACTGTTTTGCGTGCTATAATAAAATGAAATGCCATTATCTATTGTGAAACGCATATGCGTTTCATAATGAAAATATTATTGACGCAAAGTAGAAAAAGCAAATTTTACAAGTTACTCTTCAACATACCACTGTAATGCAAAGCTAATAGTGAACAAGACAAAGCGCCATTTTTGGCATACCTAAATTAAGTAAATTTATTTATCGAACTCGTTAACTCGTTCAATAAAGAATCACTTTACTGAATTGGTACAAAAATAACTACTATGTAATTTCAGTATTAGAACGTAAAAATTATTATTTTAATCTTCATGGTAAATCCTTAGCTTAGCCATGAGGGCCGCAAACGAGTAGAGAACTTTGGAAACCTAGAAAGAAATATAGAAATGCAATGTAAACTTAACTTCAGTGTCAGTTTACCTGCACTCCAAGTTCGTAGTTGCAGGAAACAGTTTCGGTAAAACTTAATTTCTTAGGCTCCTGAAGCGCCACCATTGTCAGTAGAAATATTTTTCTGTTGCTTCGATCAAAGGAGGTCCAACGAATTTCCCAAAGCACGTCAAAAAGTTTTTCTGTCTGAAAAATTTTCACTGAACGTAATTAGAAATCCTAACGGCCCTTTAATGCAATACTATATTTAAAACAATTGCAACGTGGATAAAGAAAAGAAGGAAAATCGTTTTCCTATTATGAGTTTAAGATCCAGATTTTTCTTGTTTGTGTAGTAAAAATTGGTGTTAAACAAGCTTTAATAAATTACCATATTTTCAAATTCTTGGCCACATTGTGTATACAGTAGCAAGACAGATACCGTGGAGACACACCACATGAAGTTTTGAAAATAACACCAGTAGCCCAGAATACCACCCTAAAAAAAAACTAAGCAGCACAGAACTGCGGAAACATTTGTAACTTACAAGATAAGCGAAACTCATTGCACTTAGTCCCATCAAAAATCCAGAAATAACGATTGCTGGTATCATCTCTGCACAGACATCACATACATTGTTTGTTATTCTAGAACAAAAAATGCAGTAAACCAAAGTGTAAGAAATAAGTAGTTATTTTTTACTTATTTAAATGGTTGACTCTGATAACTGTAGACACGAGTAGCTCTTTAATTACGTGCTGGTATTCTTTCAATTCGAGTAATTCGTTGTCGTCTTTGTTGTCATAATCTGAACACATGTCTTTCATGAAATCAAGAAACACGTAAATACCAAATTTTATATGTGAGACAAAATACAACAGTGCATGTGACAAGCGAACGGACTGTAAAGCAGACACCGGAAATATGATGTAGTAAAACACTTCCAACATAGGTAAATTGCAGTAATCCTCTAAGAAAGCGATTGTGAAGTGGAACTGTCTCTCTTTTCCAATGGGAATAAGAACAAATCCAGTTATTACTACTAATGCTAGATGAACGTTCACGAAAATCGTTATATATTTGGCTTCTTTCTCTATCGAGTATGCTGTTTTCTTTGTAGCGTTCTTCAAATCTGGTAGATATTTTCTGTATTCTGTAGCAATACGTTCCACAGCGGACATTTTTCTCAGCAGAGCTGAACAAATAACTAGAGTCTAAAAATAAATCGTAAAAATATAGTATCATTAACAATAAGGGAACGCCGTCAAAGAAATATTCGAGGATTTTATGTTTTTCAGATGTGTGTTATATAAGTTATCAGATCGAAATTTAGCTAAGTAGCTAACCGTTTGGTGTCATATTTTAAATGTCGTATCGTCAGTTTACAATATGATAAATTTCTCCATAGATGAATTTTTGAAGAATCCCACAACTTAATGAATTATAATCAATAGTAGCAGAGTGTAAATTTATCGTTTTAACAATAAAACATTATTTATCTACTTACCGACGCCATACCCAAGTATACTGACACGTACTGATTAAAAAATTTTATGTTGAATTCTTTGATGAAATAGTATGTGTTAATTAATATAATGAGTATTGATACAACAAGTACAAGAACTTGGATGATGACCAAAAACTTATTTTCGTACATTGTCATTGCGAAGAAACATACAGAGGAGAGAACATCGTCTGCAAAAAAAATTTTTTTTGAATTAATGTTTCTGTAATAGGATTTGAAATAAAAACATAGAATACAATTTAAATGAGTCTTACCGGGCGTTTGCGGTTGGTTAAGTTTTCGTGATCTATTTTTTCTCATTCTAGTAACAAATCAAGCTTTAAAATGTACAGTAAAACTACAAATGTGAAAAGCATTTGTAGTTTATGAAGGTAGACAGAAATAATTGACTGGGTTTGCTCATAAAAATACTACTTCGATATTAGTTGACAAAGAGTCAAGGGAAAGCAGATAATTAAGGAAAAATCAATGATGCAAAAAAATGTGTGAGTGTTTGTAACATGGACGAGAATTCCAATACATTACAGAAAGTTTATATACACAAAAAATTATAACTATCCTCAAGTGACAGTAAAAATAATTAATATGAAACTGAGCAAGCTTTTTACCTAACAATTATCATTTATAAAATATTCACTGATACTGGCATCAAAAGGACAAAAAAAACATCATCAGCTAAGAATACAAAATGCGAAAAATTTAAAGCTTCCTGAGACACTCTCCTCTGAAGTCCGTTAATTTCATGATTCTTTTCTGTGACAAATTATGTTTATCGTAGTATTGCTTTTCAAAAAGTAGAAACAACTGGGCGAAAAATTGTTGCCACTATGAGAAGATGAAAAAAATGGTCTAAAGAAATTAGTTTCTGCGTCTGAAGAAGCACAAGCCGATTCAAATCAGATTTTTTCTCGTTTTTTTTTTTTATAAAAATATGGGTCTAAACTGAAAATTCTAAAACAAGAACCATAACAGGTCAAAGAAACTTACAGATTTATATTTTTCACTTCGAATTAATAATAATAACATTTATTTACTAAATTATTATATTACATAAACAGTTTGTGGCAAGTCAGTCATATAAAATTGGGACCAGCCAACATAATATGTATAATAAACGCAATTCAATAGATGTTACAAGTGTACAAATAATTTACAAAGGATTTATTTAGAGTACATCAGATAATCTTTGGTGGAATAAAAGCAATAACTTAGAATAAATTTTTAACGGTAATCTTAAGTTTAGAAGTAGCCATGTTAATCCAGTGTTCAGGTATATATATTCAGAGAATTATTACACACTTAATAGTTCCTAGTACTCGGAGAGCCCATGACACATGTTTCATGAAGTGTTTGATGCACTTTGTAATTTTGTCTGGTAGTTCCAATAGAATATAGGAGTAAATAATGAACGGTCTGCCTAACCTACCGTGGAACACCAGGTACTGCGCATAGGGGACAGGTGCGAAGAAAATTTTACCAACAATTTTTTTTATACATATTCATATTATTCATAAGGCAACAAACACATTTCAATAATTGAGTCGGTTTACAATAAAAAATAAAAAAGGCCGACAGTTTGGAGGGGGTTAACTTTTACTTTTGTCTGATAAAGGATGCACTACATACAAATTCATACACAGCCCTGCCATAATAAAAGAGCTGCAGGAGTCTCAACCGACGCTTGAACAACTATAGAGGACTAATGAAAAAATGGACATCAAATTTGTTCAGGCTCGAGTAGCTCAGGGGATTTAAACGTCTATTATATTCCCATTATTAGAGTGTAATCCCCGATCTGAAAATAATACTGTTAGAATTTCACATGAATATAAATCTTAGCAAAAATGTTGGTAAGCATCTTATTATAGGCAGCAAAAATAAAGAAAAAAAACTCGAAAAACCCACAGAAGAGTTTCTTTGTCACTCGATATTAAATTTAGGCACACATCAACATTTTCTTTTTATTTAAACCAATTACCCATAATATATACCACAAGAAACAATATTTTAATATATGTGTAATTTACCTCCTTACTTATTAAAAAAACGTACCTGTTTCATCACTATCCGGGATCAAAATAAGTGTATCATTTTGACATCCTTCTTCTTCTTCTTCTTCTGGTCTAGTATCACGAAGGTTTCTAGATTTTTTCCTACAACAAGCGGCACCACTTGCTAGAAGCACACCCAAAGCTGCTGCTCCTCCTCCTAATTTTCTAAAAGTCGTATTTTGTGCAAAAGACTAAATATAGTCACAATAATACTTACCCATATTTTCCAACATGAAATACTGGCTCTTCAAAATTTATTGAATGATTTGGAATTTTTAAATTTGTTACTCCCAGATTAGCCCATTTTTGAATTTCAAGCGGGGACAAATCGTTATGAAATTGTATAATTCCGTCTTTAATGGGTTTCTCGTTTTCCCCTTGCGGATAGGTCCTGTAGAAATTATTCTTGTGTGTACTATTGTCTCCTATATTTTCAAATGACACTGGTTTAATGGAAGCAAAATCGAACTGTGGGACTGGTGGGAAAGTAAATGATTTACTGAACTCATAAGGCGGTGAAAATTTCGTCTTTGGATAAACACGATGGCGTGTTCTATTTTTTCTGCTTCTGGAGACTCCAAGGCTCAAAGCGGTTGTTAAATTAGACGGAAAACCAAGTGTTTTATTGAAAACGTCGAGCGGAAACAAATCTAGAAGAACTGGATTCTGCGTTACAACTTTCACGTCAGTGGAGACTTCGTAATGCAAAGGAGATGTGGTGGAACTTTGGCTCTGCAGAATGTAGAATGTCTCAACAGATTCGTGTTGTAAGATATAGTTCATACCTGTGCGATAACAACAGAAAGTGCGGTCCCCCATATCAAATACTGGTAGACGAACATACTCGGATGTATCTGTCTGATTATGCATCTGTCCGACTCTATGAGGCAATTTCTTACACCTTTAGAACAAATAGCAAAATTAGAATGTGTACTCTCAACAAGTCAATTTCTTAATTAATTTTAACAAAATTCACATCAACAAGTTTCGAAACTTTTTAGGTATCATCCAATTTTTAAGGTTCATTAACCTTAGAGTTCGAAAAAAGTGATCTGCCGTCTGTTTGTCTCTCTGTCTGGTGTCTGTATCAATTTTTATTAGATGGTTAAACGCTAACTAAAATTTGGCTAATCATCCCCACCAACAATTTAATGACGACATCTCAAAGAATTTTATTTTAAAACGATTTAAATATTATACAGTAATAAACTCCTATCCTTATGGTGTACGAATCGGCTTTGAGTTTTTTCCTAAACGTTCAAATTTTCGCAAAAAATTAACTTAGTATAGTAACATTTTACCACTAACTGAGGAAATAATCGTTCGTGGGGTTACGGCTAAGATAAGAACGAGTCACCCGATTTTGCGAAAATGTGCGAATACGCAAATCTTTATTTAATAATGATTAAATAAGAATTATAATATTCAGAACATTTTGTTGGATTGTGGCTTAATTAATAATTTTAGTCCTCTGTTTTAAGGAGATAAACTCAATCAAACCAAACTAATTTCTATGTGACATTCATTGGATTTATAAACATAAACACTTAAACTTAAGATTGGCAATATTGATGAGAGGATATTTTTTCCTGTTGGTTACCTGCTTTAACTAAATTACATTGTCCACAACTGAGAGCGCAAATTCTTCGCGCAGGTGCTGTGGGGGTGTTATTTATGCTGCTTGTTTTTACTTGGGAAAAGTTATATCACATAAACGAAAATCGAAAAATCAAATTTTATATTTTTTTAAGACTGGGGGATTTGTCGGATTATATTTCAAGGGCGGGGGAAGTTCTGTCGATCTTCGATCAATTGTTTTTTAAATCTTGATGCGATACTTTCAAATTTCTGCATTTCTAAGATTAGAAGATAGACAAGATTTATCTTTTAAATACAAGATAACTGATCATGAAGAAAATTATTCTTAAAATTGTTCAGCAAAAGCGAATTTCGCCTGTATCTAGGTAGGTGTAATGACAAGAGAATAGAAATCACTATACTGGATTATTTAAGTGGAAAGTCGCCAAACTTTGTTTTAATATCATCAAATTAGGGTCCAAGGGAAATAATAAAAGCTTTAGAATAAGTGTAGATTATAATAGAGAACTGTTTATTTCTTCTTACAATTCAACTTCATGGCCGAATAATATATTAGTATATATTATTCAAACGTCTTAGATTTTTTCGAGAAGACTCAGGAAACTTCTTCATCGCCTCAGCATAATATCGTACTGACAACAATTCACTGGCAAATAATACTCTGACATTATGTTACAGCAACATATAATAGCTATTTATTATACAAGTGTTTTATAAGGCAAATAAGTCGCGAAAGAAATGTTTAGCCACAAGAGCTTGCTCGAGTGGCCTAATTTTTCTTAAGCGAAACAGGTGAAATAGAGTTTAACGTTCCACCTAGCGCAACCTATTGCACGTCTTAAACGCAGATAATTTTTGGCACATGTTAGAATAGTTTGATAAAATGGAAAAAAAAACAAATCGTTATAATTTCTGGATGAAGCTCCAAATAAATGGTGTGTAGAAGATGTAGATGAAAGAAGGAAGAAATTAGTAAATATTCTGGTTGATTATGCAGAGGATAGAGATTCCGTCGTTGTTGTAACGGTTCCTCACCGCTGAAAAGAAGCGATTTTCGCAATTATTGTTAAAAAAGAGAAAGATGAATCCAATTCGAAAATATGTGCCGTTACGACCGCAGAGTTCTACCGTAAGAATATACTTTTTGAATTACAAGAGTGTTCGAAGTTATGTCCAAGTCGTAAGAAAAATATCTTTGGAAAGATCACAGGAGATAGCTTGCGAAAAACTGATGCAACTATGTTAGCGAATACACAAGCGGTAAGGTGAAAAATAACAGCTGCCGCGGAACATATTTAGAGGACAGGATTTTATCATTCCAAATGTTAGCGGATGTACCTTCCTGTTTACAAGAGTTATCATTTTCTGTGTATTCAGATGACGACATTAGGATAGAGTGCAACACTGAATCGTCAAATTTTGCTTCCAGAAACATTACTTTCACTTACTTTTACTAATCAACATATTTCAATAATTTTGTTGAAAAAGTACTAAAACGAGGTCGACAGCCACACTCAGAAGTAAAAAAAAATCTGATTTTCTTTTCTGTCCCGTAACAACATCCGACTAAATGGTTTTAATTTTTTATTTTCTAAAAAGTTACTTACATCTCTTAATATTTTCAGCACAATAATTTGAGCAAACCAAATGGTCAGTAGCTAGTATCTACACTTTAATTTTTTTATTGTTGATGCTCAAACACGGCGTTTAAATTTACATTTCAAAAGAACAACAAACAATAGCAACAATTTATCTAAACAAAACATTTTAGACTGAGTTGATTAACAATAATTAATTTCATCACAACCTTCTTAGGCACTATGTTTGTTGTAATACTCCTCTATCATTCATCGAACAGTCAAAAACCGTGATAAAATTATTTTGTAGTTATCAAAATAGTGAAATATTAAAAGGCAAAACACTTACATTTGTCATTAGTACAGCTTCTCTTGTCCACAGAAGTTTTCACGTATTAGTTTCCTAATCTTTTGTCCACCTGGCACACATAAAGGACAACAATTCTGAAATACGACACGTTTCAGTTGTTCAAGAACAAAACTAGTAGACGTGTTACTGTCTGAAATGCTGAAAACTTGTTTACTATGCATTGTTCGATCTTTTAAAATTATTATCGTTGCCGCAGTATTACTCATTCTGTGACGCATCTGTTCCCAAGCTATCATGCATTTTGCATTTGCCGAAAATATCATTATTATTAAAGCTTACGTTAATGGTGCAACAATAGTTTTGATCTTCTGTTGAAATATTAAACATAGCAAAAAGCGACAGCACTTACATCCATTTTTTTCTTTGTTTAAAATAATTTTAAAGACAAACCTACTCTTTGAATATTGATTAACTAAAACGGTAGTATTTAACGTACAAAACAAAATTTAATGTAGGTATAACAAATAATAAAGAAAGTCAATTTGAATAACTGCAGGTACTATCGAACATAGACGAGATAAAGGATCTTCCAATTATGGGAGAAATGGGTAGAGTTGTTCTTGATTTAATCAATGAAATAGATATCGTCATTCACTAATTTTTTAAACCACCCTGTATAAGTAATTTTAAAAAATATTATAACATTATAATAAACAACAAGTAGTAGGTAGGATGACCTTAAAACGTTTGCAAGATTTCAGAGCGTTTTGCATTTTCAAAGTTAATAATTCGCTAAATGTTCTAACAAAATTTTGATTTTTATAAAAGTTAAATTACTATTGTAAATTTTGGAGATGACGTCATCCCATGGGTAGTGGGGATAATCAGACAAATTTTGATTAGCGTTTTATCATGAAACGTCGACAAAACATCTCCTTAGCCTACGCTCGGGAAGTAAAAACAAAATTTAGGTAAATATGGCTTTTTTATTACTTGTGTACCTACAATATTCTAAACTAAACACGCTTGCATTTTCTTACGTCATGTCCATTTCCAAACACTCATAAATGTAGAGACGGAGGTGTACATAAGTTGTAACCGAATCTCTTTATACATCTATCACATTTCTATTAGAAGAATGCGATCGCTGACCTGAAAACACTGCTATTATACTAGAAGTTAAAATATTTATAAGTCTACAAAGTCAAACTATTTTTTACTCAAAAATATTTTGTTAATGTAGAAGCATACGTAATGTATCAACTTAGGCAAAATTAGCGAAACAGATTAAATGAAATGTAAACAATTATTCAAAGAAATAATATTTTCTTAATTCTGATATAGAGAATCGTCCTACCTTCATCATTAGTCTCTATCATCAAAACTGTATCGTTTTGTTCAATTCCCTCTTCTCCTGGTTCATTATCACCATTGTTTCTAGATTTTTTCTTTCGATAAGCAGCATAACCTCCTCCAAAAGCAGCAAAACCTCCTCCTCCTCCAATTACACTAAATATTTGTTTTTATGTAAAGAATCAAAATACTCTCAAATTACATACCTAAATGTCTTGAAAGAAGATTTTTCCGTTTTAACATTAACTGAATACTTCGGAATTTGAAAATTTGGCTCTGCTAAATTAGTCCACCTGGGTATATGAAGTGGCGGCAAATCTTTAAAATGTCTCGTAATATCGTCGGCGACAGCGATTTCTTTTTCCTTATGGTTTTTCAAGATCCTGCCTACTTTAGTAAAATTTAATACCTCATTTCCTAAAACATTAGGTCTGACAGTCCCAAAATTTGGAATTTCTGGAAAATCAAATCTTTCATTGAAATGTAAAGGTGGAACAAAAACTGTGTCTGGAACAACAGATTGTTGTGCTGAAGTGTTCCTGGCTGTGGAGACTTCTTGCTGGAAGATGGTTGTGAAGTTTGTTGAAGAACCAATCGTTTTATTAAAAAGGTCAAGTGGTAAAAATTTGAACTTTAGAATTGGACTCTGTGTTGAAGTTTTCGAGTCGCTGAAGACTTTATGGTGTGGAGGGGTTGTAGTAGAATTTTGGGCCTAAATAAGTCGATATATTTTTGTTTTAAAAAAGTTATACATACGTACGTGTGTAATGGCAGCAAAAGTTACAGTTCCCCATATCAAATACCTGTAGATGACCATTATCAGATGAATCTGCCTCATCTGCAATGGTATAGGGTTTAATCAGGTGCTACGTAAGAGACAGTAGGTAATGATAAATCATACCTATTATCTCTTAAACAATACCTTTAATACGGTTTTCAAATTTTTCTCAATCCTTATGAAGGGTTAGCTACTGAAGATCTTCCTCATTTTATTTCTGTTCGGACTACAATTTTTTGTTAGCTACAGAGAGAAGTCTTGTTGCCTTATTTTATTTCTAGTTATTTCCTTCTATATTAGTGACAATTTTGAATTTAATTCCATAGGAAATCACGTTTACGCACTCCTAATCTTATTTGCACTTGTCAGAAAAACCACAGTTCTTATCTTGTCTTAATAAATTACTTACAAAATTAAGAACGTTTTTGTCCTGAAATAAATCATATGAGCAAAATATAATTAGGGTAATATTTACCCAAAAGATGTCGACAAGTATAATTAAAATTCTTACTTACTTGATAACAACTTTTTTTCTCTTAACAACCCTACGTTGCACGTCGTGCCGTCAGAACTTTGATAAAATATAGAATTGACTGACATCCGAAACAAAAATTCTAAATTATACTCCTAATATTTTTCAGTTCTTCAGCAACAAAACAAATAGATTCGTGTGTTATATAAATAATGAAAATCTGCTTAGTAGCCACTATACAAACTTCCACTGCTGTGTATTTTTAAATTATTATCGTCGCCACAGAATTACTCATTCTGATAACTTTTTTTTGTCCGTAGAGTTGTAGGCTACGGTTGTACTTGTGAGCTATACCAGTTGCCAAAGATTGGTCGAAGTCTATTTCAACAGAACTTCCCCTGACCATAAAGTATATATATTCATATTAATAATTACATTTTTTGGGTATATGAATGTAATAATTGTGTGTAATTTGAGTTCCTTTGTTAGTTATCTTTTATAAGCGAGTATTTGAAATTCTTTCATATTAAATATCCCATAATAACAGTTGAAAAAATACAGCTTCGAAAAATTATAAGATTTAGCTTTAAGAATTTTATTTTAATTTTGATGATCACCTCTATAAGCTAATTAATATACCCGGTGTTTCTTTTATTTGATACAACCCCTGTAAATTTTTTATTTTTAAAGATAAATCTGTAGTTCTTTGAGCGAATTTGTATCATTTTAAAAGATCTAGTGATGGCAACAATTATTTAATTGTTTTTCAAGCAACTAGATTTTGAAATAAACGGAAAATTTTGGAGATATTTTACTAAATAACTTTTTTATTATTGATTTTAGAATATTGGTTGCTTGTGATTTTTTGTAGTGAAAAAATCAATGTTTCCATTTATGAAAAAATATACCTAGTGTTCCATTAAAAAAAAATAAGTTGACGTCATTTCCGGTTCTACCGCCAGTGATAATAAAAATGTGTGCTTACCATCATATAAATCTTTCAGAATGATACAAATTTGGTTAAAGAACTACGGGTTTATCTTCAAGAATAAAAAAGTTACAGGGGTTGTATCAAATAAAAGAAACACCCTGTATGTATGGATTTTTAAAATACAGGTAAAAACATCCTGTGCATTTGTTTCTAGCGAATTTTTCCGCAAAAATTCCAGTAAATCAATATGAAAAGGTGTAGTACAATATTATTAGTACTGTACTATTATAATATATTGTCAAATTTTCGGACAATGAAATGGTTAATAAAACACATCGCCTCAATCATTACTTTTTTTGAATCACCTTGCATAAGCAATTCTAAAAAATATGAACAAGTATAAACTCTTAGCACTGAGTATATACACGGTGATTTCGAAATATATGCAAGAAGAAAAATGGGGAATAGCTCACAATAAGATTATTTCACTCTGTAAAATTCACGCTCCTAGGTGGTAGCAATGTCTAGAAAAAATTGTTTGAAATTATGTATAAATTGTTATACACGCCGCTGGTAGTGTTTCTTGACCTACTTCTTTCAATGAATGGCACAGAACGACTCGGATTAAGAACCAAAAAAGTGACTGATAAGAAACGTGCAAAAACACGAAAACGACCAGTCATGATCAGTTGCTTGCATCGAACGATCGGGAGTTGGTTTATGGTGAATTTTTCCAATTCAGAGTGTGTCGATATGGTAATACTTGTGTGCGCGAACATTTGCATCAGTGGTACAGCATCTCCGAGATCATGGTACCTTCAACCTCAAGCTCAAGACCATGACCTAACTTTTAAAATAAGGGTAATTTATCAAGGACAAATCTTCAAAAATCCATTATTGTTTTTGCTCATGTTTTTTGTTATATGGGGTGAACAGCATAATAAACATCCAAAAAAAGCAAATTCTAAAATTAATTTAAACAATTTTTTAACCTTGATTTCAATTTTACATCTAATAAGAACCGGGTGGGCGGAGCTAGTACTTCGTAAGATAAGATTGATTTTGGCAAATGACATATCCTCTGAGAAAATAAGGGGCAGGTGGGTGGGGCTAGTACTTGGTAAGATAAGACTGATTTTAGCAAATGAGAAAATAGGGGGGCAGATGGGTGGGTCTAGTACTTACGTAAGATAAGACTTATTTTGGCAAATGACATAGCCTCTAAGAAAGTAAGGGGTGGGCGGGTGGGGCTAGTACTTGGTAAGATAAGACTGATTTTGGCAAATGACATACAACGATTGAAGAGATGTACAAGATTATTCCCGAAAAGAAGACCATTCTAGGAAATTGAGATATTGTAGACGGTCAATATAGGGATTTTATGGGATGTTTTAGAGCAAAAGTAAATCTAAAAAAAATTTTTAATCAAAATATATTTGCTTATCCCCTCCAAAAAATTGATGACATCATCTGAAAATGTTGCCGGATAAATACTATCTGAACTGTATAAAGTATGATCAATATGGGATTTATCACTACATTCATGTCAAATTAACGAATGCGTGAATTTATTTTATTGATTTAATCAGGTACTGCAAAACCGAATCCTTTGAAATCTTGGAGAATATCATAATATGGTAAATTTTTAATCAAAATATATTTGCTCATTCCCCTCTAAAAAATTAATGAGGTCGTCTCAAATTAATGCTGAATATACCCTTAAATCTGCAAAATATGATGAGTCTATACTTGTGATTTATTTTTAATTGATAATGAATATTTTTTTATTTGCTTATACAGGGTGTGTCAGAAAAAATAATGACTGAGTTGTTAAAAAATAAAAATCCATCAGATTTAGGAATTTAACTCGTTACTAAGGAAATATGCGCCCTCTATTTTCTCAGAGGGTATGGCATTTGCCAAAATCAGTCTTATCTTATCAAGCACTAGTCCCGCCCACCCGCCCTCTATTTTCTTACAGGGTATAGTGTCTGCCAAAATCAGTCTTATCATACCAAATACTAGCCCCGCCTACCCGCCCCTATGTTCTTTGGGGATATGTCATTTGCCAATATAAGACTTATCCTAGCAAGTACTAGGAAGTACTACCCTCTGAGAAAATAAAGAACAGGGAATAGGGGGCGGGTGGGCGGGGTTAGTACTCGGTTAGCGACCTAACATGACCTACTAACCTTATCTTAGTACTATAATCTGACCTGACCCTTTGTAACTGATCTGACTGGACCTAACTTGCTGTAGTCTGACTTGACCTGACCAAATCTGACCTAGCCACCACAGACATCTCTTCCTCCAGGATCAAAATTATCGTAGAATCTTATATAAACAAAAAATAAAAGTCTTCACCTGACTTGATTAATCTAACCTGACCTGACCTGCTCTAACGTAACCGGTCCTAACCTGACCTAACTCGTTCTAAATACCTGACCTGGCCTAGCCACCATGAACATCTCTTCCACCAGGATCAAAATTATCATAGATTCTATTATAAACGAAAAATTAAAGTTTTCACCTGAATTCACCATACCTAACCTGACCTAACCTGTCCACATCTTTCTCAATAGAATGAAAACTGACTTATCTTTATTTAACTTGCTGTCCCCTGAGGGGACCTGACCATACATGACCTAGACACAATTCTAAATAAACAAATTCTTTATAAATAAAAAATAAAATTTTTGACCTGACTTGATCTACTTTATCTTGACCTGATTTTATTTGCTCTAACCTGACCTGACTTTTTCTAACGTGGCCTAACCTGACCGGAGTAGACCTGATTTAGCCACCAACAACATCTTTCACCAGGATTAAAAATTATTATCACAGAATTTTTTAAAAACGAAAAAACAAGTCTTGACCTGACTTAACCTGCGATAGTCTAACCTAGCCTTACTTGCTCTAACCTGGTCTGAGCTGTTTTAACTTAAGCATCAAGAGCATCTCTTTCAGCAGGATCCAAATTGGTTTCACCTACTACAACCTCACTCAACCTGACCTAAATTGTTTTGACCTGACCTCACCTGCCCTGAGCAGTTTGATCTGACCTAATCGAACTATAAGACCACAATCAAAATTACCAAACAATCTTTCACAAACAAAAAATAAGTCTTGGCCTCTTACATTTAATAACTATATACATTTTGCCCTAAAGTGGATTCCCTTTCCTTTCACATACACCGCAATATTGTAAAATACTTCGAGTTGCTTGAACACGCCCAGGATATTTAACTTCAAGCTCTTTCTCCTCAGTTTATCAATTTTCAGTCATTCTCGAATCCCCGCCGCGTTTCCACAAGGTAATTAAAACCGGTCGGTAGGTATCTAATTATCTCCGCCATGTCGACCCGATTTGATGGACGTTGATTGGGATCCGTGCACTAACAACATCGAAAATATCTCGAGCATAACACTAGCCGTATCAAATGTTTTCCAACAATGGCGGTTCGGCCAAATATCAACTCAGGTAAAATAAATATGTGGGTTTCCGTACAGGTAGGCGGGATGGATATATACCAAAACGAACTATTTAAATAGTTTTTAAGTCTCGTTAGGACTTTAACAACTGTCACATGAAACGTCTCTTCTAACTGTTCTTGTTTACTTGCTTGTTGTTGCTTCCTGGAAAAACAATATTTACATTAAAAATACTTCTTCTCAAAACTTTATTTGAGTATTCGCATATTCACTCCTCCGTTGATGAGCGACAGAAAAAAATACGAAAACAGCCTAGGAAAAAAAAGTGGAGTCACTGTACTCTATAACCCTGTGATCTTTTCTTTCAATATCCATTCAGTTTTTCACTTTGATGTGAAAATAGATCAGTGGCAAATTTACTCACCGAAAAGCCTTTTCTTCTTGTTTAATATTCCAATTCCAACTATTTAAAACAACCCCTATCTAAGTCTGTCACCTTTAAAATCTGTAACATAACTGATCAAAAATCGATTCTGGTCGACTGAATTGTGACAATTGACGTTTGACAGTTGTCTGTAATTGACACTGATAGCACAAAACATTGAAAGTGAGAACATCAACAGCATATAAAACGGCTAGGCTTAAATTTCATTGGTTGATTCAACGAAAGCAAAAACTTTTGCAGCCTAGGAAGATTTTTTTCTACCAAGACAGTGAAGTGTTGCTTTGTATTTATCAGATGAAGTATGCAATGTCTCGTGTTTCATAATCATAACATATTTGTAAAATTTAACAATCTGGTTATCTGTTTAATAAAAACTTGGACGGATGGCAGACGGCAGACGGACAGACAAACGGAAACAGGAGACTTAATGTGCTATGGGGGTCATGACACATCTAGAAAACATGAATTAGTCGTTCGTTTGGTAGACCCTATTACAATACTCCCTTAGCTTACGCTCGAGGAATATAGTAAACGAAACGATTTTACAAATATGGGAATACAAATTCTCCGGAAATAAAAAGTTTAACTTCCTAATAAATCGCGAAAAAAAAAACAAAATTTATGTAAAAGTGGCGTATTATTGATTTTATACATTGTAAACTAACTATTTATAGAACTAAGAATAAAGCAAATCACATCTTTATTCTTACTCACAAGCTTGCCTTTCTTTTTTCCTTTTCAACCATGCTTTTCAACACACACAGAGGGTAGACGATTTAAATAGTATGTAGCAGAGTGACTTTAAACATCTACTACATGTCTATTAGAAGCACGTGGTCCCTGACCTGCAAAAATACAATAATTAAAATGTCACCTAAAAAACATTTTAATCAAAGTTTTTGAAATTTAAGCAGTGAAGTTGTTTTCTGCTCAAAATCACTTTGTTATTAAGAAAAATCCAATAATCCGTTTCCTTACTTCTTGCCGTCGAAACTGATGTATCATTTTGTTGATCTTCATTTGCTTCAGCATCCCGACTGTTTCTAGATTTTTTTCTACAACAAGCGAACCAACTTGCGACAAGTACACCAACCCCTGCTGCTCCTCCTATTCCACTAAAAGTTGAATTTCGTGTAAGAACCACAAAAAGAACTCAAATCACATACCCATATTTAGCGGAAGATCCTGCAGGTCCAGCATTTACCGAAGGCCTTGGTACGTTGAAATTTGGTGTTCCAAGGTTACGCCACCTTGGAATATCAAGTGGCGGCAGATTTCTATGAAAATTAGTAATATCGTCGCGAACGGGTTTATCGTTGTGGTTGTTTTGGTAATTCCCATTTACACTAAAATGCCATCCCGAATTTTCAACAGAAGACACAGATCTAACAGTGGCAATCTCGAATTTTGAAATTGGTGAAAAGGTAAATGTGTTGTCGAATTTAAAAAAAGGTTGGTTTGGAAAATCCAAATCTGGTTTTACACTTTTTCTAATCCTGGAAACTTTATGTTGTGAGGGAGTTGCGAAATTTGGTGAAAGTCCAAATATTTTGTTGAAAACACCAAACGGTAAAAAATCTAACTTTGGAACGATTGGAATTGGTGTTGAGATTTTCGAATCACTGGAAACTGCATGATGGAGTGGAGACGTTGTGGAATTGTGACTCTAAAGAACTAAATATGTAGATTTTTGTTTCAAGTAATATACGAGTATGTGTACATACCTGGGCTACAGTGGTGGGAACAGAAGCTGTCCATATCAAACAATGGTAGACGAACAAAATGAGATATATTTGGTCATGCATCTGTAAAGGGAAAGATATTAGTGAAATGAATTAATAATACAGGGTCATTATAAAATATTGTAGTCAACTCACCTATGAAAAACAAATGAAATTTTTCTCGTGCCGCTAATCACCAAAATGATTTGAACTGTTTTGAAATGTCACGAACGTCCAAACAAATCTGTCAGATGTGTCAAAAATTGAAATGCCCGGTTCGCGGTTTAATTTCATTTTAAATAGACACGAAAAGACGCCAGGCCAGAGCATTAAGGGTTGCAGTGTTATCGAGCATTTGTGAACGCCACTGCAATACATTTCAGTTTCAAAAATTGTAAATTGTCAGAAAAACGTTCAAGGGCTTTGTCATGAATTACACCTTGGAAAGTCGATTGGAGTTGAACAGAATAAATCATCTGGTCTGTTTTGCAAAGAAGCAATAATTTTTCAAATAATGAAATCCAAAAAGTGAGGTTAAGTTTGTCGAAACCAATGAACACGGTAATTATTTAAAAAATTGGTCTAAAGAGTTTAGCCAGTACTTCCCTCGCTGTTGGAAACGTGACGACTGCATGCCTATTGTGTTTTTTTTCGCAGTAGATTTCATATATTTTTTTTTGAGTTACCCGGTATATGCAAATTCAAAAAATATGAATGGAATGATAAATTACAAGTACAGACTCATCATATTTTGTATATTCTAGATAGGATTTATTCGGCAAACTTTTGAGCTGACGTCAACAAGTTTTTGGAGGGGATAACCAACTATATTCTGACTAAAGATTTATGATGCTCTTTATAACCTTAAAATATCTGCAAGATTTCAAAGCATTCGGTTTTGTAGTTCTTGATTAACTCAATAAAATATATTCACGCATTCATTAATTTTTTGGAGTCACCCTGTATATAGAAATCCAAAAAATATGAATGGAGTGATAGATCACAAGTACGGACTCATCATATTTTGTACATTTTAGATATGATTTATTCCACAAACTTTTGAGCTGACGTCATCAAGTTTTTGGAGGGGATAAGCAAATATTTTTTGAGTAAAGATTTATGATGCTCTTTATAGCCTTAAAACATCTGCAAGATTTCAGAGCATTCGGTTTTGTAGTTCCTGATTAAATCAATAAAATATATTTACGCATTCATTAATTTTTTTGAGTCACCCTGTATATGCAAATCCAAAAAATATGAATGGAGTGATAGATCACAAGTACAGACTCATCATATTTTGTACATTTTAGATATGATTTATTCCACGAACTTTTAAGCTGACGTCATCAAGTTTTTGGAGGGGATAAGTAAATATTTTTTGACTAAAGATTTATGATGCTCTTTATAGCCTTAAAACATCTGCAACATTTCAAAGCATTCTGGTTAGCAGATTAAAAATTAAATTTCAAAATATTGTTTTATAATTTTGATTTTTTTTTCCAAAAATCTGGACGTTTCGGGTGAAAAGTCGATTCAGAGTTGTAAACTACATGTGTAGGACTATGTTATTTTATACAATTGAAAACCCATTTACTATGTACAATTTTGAAGTGACGTCATCGCATTAGTGGTGGGGATGATTAGACAAATTTTGGTTAGCGTTTTACCATCTACATGATATTCTTAATATAAGTACAAAATTTCACAACAATCGGTCGAGTACTTTCGGAGATTATCTGTCTAATAAAAATCCGGGACAACAGACGGACAGACGGACAGACGGACGGACAGACGGACAGACGGACAGACGGACGGACAGACGGACAGACGGACAGACGGACAGACGGACAGACGGACAGACAGACGGAAATGGGAGACCTATTTCTTCGTCTTCTAGGGGTCATGAAAGATCGAGAAAACGTAAAAGTAGAGAGTCGACCGACGGACTCAATTACAATACTTCCTTTGCTTACGCTCGGGAAGTAAAAATTACAGTTTTATAGGTACCCTGAAGGTAAAAATTGTGAAAAATCACGTAATGGACAATGGCAGAGCAAGTCTTATCACAGTTAACGAACACTATGAGTACCTAATGAGTTTTTGCAGTAAATAATTTTGCCAAAGTTGTGATCCCGCGAAAGTTCTGTTTGTAAATTGTAAGGAATCGTCAAAATATTGGTGCAGACATGGTTTGTGACCGGTGCTTTTCTGTTGAAAAAACACAACTGAAATCCTTGATCTTCATCCCTACAATAGGTGAAAATTGCTATGTCCAAACATTACCTTCAGCTTTGCAGTTTCTAGATATCTGAAACATGCCAGATCTGCATAACAGGAATGTCAAAGAGGTTCTACCCAAAACACGCCCACATGGCCATCCTAATATCAAGATTTTTCAAAATTTCTATAAGAAAAAAGATGAAAAAACCAATAAAATTTCAGGAGCATAGTGTTAAGAGTTCTGTAGCTGATTATGAGATCTCTTGAAACAACAGAAATTTTAATAAAGATTTTTAACTTTCCTAATAGTAAAATTACAATTATTACTAAACAGTAAGTTGAAGTAAGTTTTAAATTAAGAGAATGCAACTAACACCGAAAGAAAAATGAAAGTTACTGAAAATAAAAAACTTTATTGCAGTACCTACATACACTTTCTACATCTAATTTTGTTTATTGATCACATTCATTTACTTGAAAAAGTATCAGGCCTATGAATCGTCGTCTGCTAACCACACACCAACCTTCATTGCGTGTGATGGTGTTTCTTCAAAAGCGTGAGTATTTTCTATACACCAAATTCTGAAGTTCTGTCAGTTGACATAATAGCCTAACAGATGAAACCAGGCTTCATCAGAAAAGAACGACAAATCGAGAATCCCGTTATCGTCCATATCAGCTTGAAACCAACTACACTACCCAACGCGGCAAGGAAAATCAGCTGGTTGCAGCTCCTGAACCAACAAAATCTGGTATGGATGCATATGTAACTTCTCTTTTACGATTTTCTGACATGGGCTGTATGGTACTCCGGACAGTAAAGAGTTTTGACAAAGCTTTATTCGGACTTTGTTCCATTCTCATCCTTAAATCTTCAACAACGTCTTCACTAACTTGAGGTCTCCCCGTCGGTTTTCACTTAGAAATGCTACCAGTGTCGTTAAATCTGGCCATAATTCGCCATATAGCGTCTTCAAAGATTCTTCATCAATGACAACAGAACATTTCACTAGATACTCGTTTTTAGACGCTTCCACAGAGTACACTCCATCCCCATCCTCATTTAACACCCCATTACGGTAATAGGCATGATGATTGCGCCAAAAAATCATTTGTAACACTGACCATAGTTATTCCTCTCTGTTCATTACCTGAGATTATTCCACAATGATCTGTAGTTTTGATAAAAACTGTTTTTTGAGACACTTATTAAAGTTCTAACAAAGGGGAAGACAGCAAAAATGAAAACAAGACAAGTCAATTAACGCACAAAGTGAGGGAAAACGTACCAGTACAAACGAAAAAATTATTGACATCTGACAGAATTTGATGAAGCGTTGAAACAGTGCAGCCGCTAATGTCAACTAATGTGGCGCTAAAAATAAAAATTCCAATATTAGTGTAATCCTTTCCACAAAACTGAAAAAGGCGGCACAAAATGTCACCAAAATCATGGCCTTCTTCGACTACAATATTTTATAATGACCCTGTATAAGTAATAAGTAGTACACATGTGAAAACAACTGTCCATCCACTAGATTTTTTTGGGAATTGGAGGAGTCGGAAAAGTTTACGAAGAAAGTGTTTAGTTGAATCACGGAAAAATCTCAGTCCAAAGAGGAAGTCCTGAGTCATGACGGTACAAATTATTAAGTAGAAATATTGAAGCAACGACATCATCACTACGAGTATATGAAATGAATATTACTGGAACTCATCATCCATAATCTTCTGTTGCCAGTGTTTTGGGAAAAACGTCTAAGACTTGCTGAAAACATAGGTCATAGCACCATCTTTTTGAAATTATTCTAGCGGCAATTCTTCATCAATCAGTTGGTTGACGAACTGATCTAAAATCACTTTTCTGTGTCGAATTTATTTTTTAATGTAATGTTTTTTTAAAAATAACAAATTTTGTTTATGTAAGACCTATGTGCAAATTTGTAAAACCTACATAATTAAAGTTCAACTAATCACGCGGTAGATTAAACCAGGAGTAAGAAATTATAAATAATAAATTCAAAAATATATATATACTTATGTTTTAGTTATGATTTGGCTTGTATTTACGTACCTTTTATTAGACCCGAATTAATAGAATATGCAGTGATAAATTTTAAGCTAAAAATTAACTTAATTTGAAAAGTCTACGCAAACATTTTGTTGCTGGAATTTTAAGTACCCCACCCCTTTTTTCTAATATGTGACACTTAATAATTTTCTTGTATGTATTTATTAAAAAAATATATAGCAATTACTACAAGATATCTAATCATTAAAATTTCTGCGTTTTTAATAGGTAGTTTTCTATTTATATAAGTTGTAGCTTACGCTACTTGAGTCTAGATCGCGCTCATAACAACACATTCAGTTCGAATTTCGGGTACTCCCCCTCTCATTTCCAATAATCTATAATTTGTAGACGTTGTGATATCGTAATATCAATAGCATAACGTGAATTATAAAAAGACGAAGATTCGCGTTTACCGACTCATCTGAGGTGGTCACTTTGAGAGGACGAAACGAAAACGTTTCGATTCAATCTACAACGGAAATAACAAACTGTTTGTACTTTTTTGTAAATCATGGCGACGAAAATGAATCTAAAAGACAGATAGTGAAATCCTTTCGAATTATTCACTCGAAAGTAAAAATATGACATAGTTTTTTTAGAATCATTACTCCAACCGAAGTTACTGAAGGATTTCACACAGTTAATCAGACTTTTGACAAGATTGTTTAAAATATGTTGAGTACAGAATTTAAACGAAATGTTGTGGGTACAAAATTCGCCAGTTACACATTTGACAGACAAAGCTTTTTACAACAGAACCATTCTGTAGTGACAGATATTTCAAATTTCAAGCATAAATATTTCTGTTAAACAAATATCTCAGGTAAATTTTCTTGTATGTATAACTGCGAAACTATACAATTTTAGGTTTAAGTCATTACTCATTATATCTTGATATTTTAAATATCGATTAGGAGTCTTCATATGGTCTGACCAACGCTGACGAAGCTTGTAATCATTTCTATAAACTTTTGTGCTCAACATAGCTATCCGAAAATATACGAGTATCTTAGGATAAATAGTCGCAAGGCCTCAAATAGCAAACGGGAATAGTTAACTACTTTTTTATTCTAAAAATCTAGTTTAATACACTTTAGTAAGTATTATCCACAGTAGTTATTTCTTTTCAACACAAAGAACACCTGCCAGATTGTCTACGCCTCTGAGTCCTTGTCTTCATCAACAATTCAACTATCTCACTATATCCTTTAGATTGCGCTACTTCGACAGCAACGTTGTCTATCTTCACCCCCGCTTCGATCAACACACCAACAATTTGGATAAATCCGTGCGAACAAGCAATGTGAAGAGACTTCCATCCACGTCTAATCGAAGCTTCAATATCTGCCCCCATTCGTATCAAAAGCTCCGCCAGCTCTTTGCTTCCTTTATCGACAGCAAGATGAAGCGGCTGCACCCCGGAAGCATCAACAGCATTAACATTAGCTTTGTACATCAACAACAGCTCGACGATTTCTATGGCACCGTTAGAACAAGCAGCGTGAAGAGGTCTCGAACCTTCTCTATCAGAAATGTTCGGATTAGCTTTAGCGATTAACAAACTTTGTACCATCTTCAGGTTTCTACGAGAACAAGCCACGTAAAGAGGTGTCCAGCCGTCGTTTGTACGAAAATCAACGTCTGCGCCGTGTTTTGACAAAAAGTCGACGATTTGGGCTTGCTCTCGATGACACGCTATTGCTAGTGGAGTAACTCCAAACTGATTGTAGATGTTTATATCGGCTTTGAAAGTTAAGAGGGTTTTAGTAACGTCGACGTGTCCGTTCTGAGACGATAGGTACACTGGTGTAATGCCGTCTCTGTCGACAAAGTTCGGATTGGCGTTTGCTTTTAATAACAACGTCACGACTTGGAGATGTCCATGAGCTGAAGCGACATGAAGTGGAGTGTAACCATTCTGACTTTCAACAGGATTGGTGTCTGCACCGTATGCTATTAAACTTTCGACGATATGTTCGTGGCCGTTGTAAGCAGCTAGATGTAGAGGCGTTCTTCCATCGTTGAGTGGAAGATTAACGTCAGCACCACTCAAGATTAGAGACAGTGCCGCTCCAGTGGAACCCTTATTAGCACACAGACACAACGGCGTAACTCCTTTTTTCGTCTTGACGTTACTATCGGCACCTGATAGTAACAAAAAGTTGACTATGTTTTCATATGAGCCATCACAAGCGAAGTGTAGAGGTGTAGCCTTTTTTTCATCTTGTGCATTAGCCTTAGCACCATACTTTATCAAAGTTACTACAATATTGTGGTGACCATAGGCAGCAGCTAGATGCAACGGTGTCAAGTTTATTTTATTAGACATATTTGCATCTGCTTTGAATTTGAGTAGTAGTTCGACGATGTCGTTGTAGCCATATAGACAAGCTAAAATCAGAGGTGTGGTGGAAGCAAAATGATCCAAACTGTCTAGATGTATGCGATATGTAGGAAAGGAAAGGAGTTTTTCAACACACTTTATGTTGTTCTTGACAACTGCGAAGTGTAGTAAAGATCGACCACCTAACTTCGCGACAACGTACTTCGCATCGTCAAACAAATTTAGAGCAGCTGCATCTCCCAACAGCACAGAGTAGTAGAGAATGTTGCAGACGATTAAATCCGAATCGGAAATTCGAAAGTGGTATTTTAGGTTCATGGTCATTAAAGTTACCAAACAGTTGAGTTTCTCTGCGTACGACTTTGAATTTAGATTAAACAGACGATCTTCCTCGTAGATGTTACATTTGTCCAACAAAAATTCTAAAATCTTTATGTAGATTGAACTTTCCACTTCAATAGTGAAATCTTCGGCAGATTCGTCATCGATGAGGTAATAATTAGACTGTTTTGATATTTTCAACAGTGGATAGCGTACACCCCAGGAACATGCTAAATGTAAGGCAGTTCTACCTCCTAGATCTCTACGATCTATTAAATTTTCGTATCTTTTTAGAGCTTCTAAGTTTTTCTGCAAAACGGCAACGTGTGCAAGGCAGTCTCTAGCCAATATCAAATCAAAAAAGAGTCGAATGTTTGTAAATTTTGTAATGAATATTATGTCTGAAAGTTGCCGCCATACCTCGCTGTGTTTCGACAAGAAGCTAGCAACAAAGTACTCAGCGTACGAATTGTGGACAAATACGACTTTCCCGTACTTCGTTACTTCGAGAATGAATCCACAACTGTCACCTTCTTGTTCTATCTCTTGCAAGAATTCGTCTATGTTGGTATTTTCTGGCAATAAAAACTCTTTTCCAAACAACAGCTCCAACGACAGTTTCTCGTAATTGGCGATCCTGTATTTTTTATCCAAATCAAGCGATTGTTGCAATATATGATTTGGAGACGACACGTTTGCTTTGTCTCTGAAGTAGAAGGCAAAGCTTTCTTCGATAAAGTGGTGGTACAAATCTGTTATAGATAAAACTCCTTCTAACAAGCTCACGTATTTGTCAGGGTTTTTTAGAAACAGTTCTGTTAACATGAACATTTGTATAGGAACGCTTAAAATAGCGAAGTGGTCAGTCTCAACTATCTTCTTTTGAATTTCTGCTATTAAGTTTTTGAGATTGTCTTCACTGAAAAACGAACAGAATCGCTTTTCCATGTAAGCCAGTTGTTGAGAGACGTCGAATTGAGTTAAGGTCTTTGACAAAACTGTAAATTTTTTCTCTAGAGCTTTCTTCAAGTGGGGACGGCAAGTTACAAATTGTTTATAACATTTCTTAGAAAGCTTCTGAATAAGGTTGGTAACTTGTTTTAACTCTTTGTCCGATATTTCATCCAGAGCATCCCAGAAGTAAACCACGTGACCGCTCTTAATTAACAACTTTAATAACTTCTTGTCGAAAATTTTTCCATGGCCATACTTCTCGTTCATAATAAAATCTATAAAAGCTTCAAAGTTACCACTTCTGTTTCTGAGATGAGAACATAAAAAAGAAATGTCTTTCGAAGAGAATATAATTGTCCATATACTTGGAGAAAAATTGTTTTTTAAATTGCTCATCAAGAGGGATTTGCCCATACCAGGATCACCGTTGATAATATCAATATTATTGTTGAGTGATTCCAAGAGCTCTGCTTCTTCCATAAAGTAGTCTATCATTGCATATTGGTCTAAATCGCTCACACCTCCTCTACTAGATATCCACTCAAGGTGTCCATCGTCGTTCATTCTAAAAAAATGGAATTTTTCCGACGATGAGAAGTTTTTAGCGGAACTAACAGATAATTCATTTTCTGTTACGTATAACTTGCCTTTAACTAAACCGACATCGTCTAGTAAGTCTAGATTTTCGCCGCTTTCGTCTTTGTCTTTGTCGAAAAATATTACCTCATATCTCTTCCCATTAAAGTTGTTTTTAGAAAAGTTGCTAATTATAACTGTCGTGTCGTTGTCTACTGAATCTAAAAATTTTACTTCTATAAGATTTTTCAAAAGACTTCTACTGATGTAAGGAGATGGTATTAAATCTTGACCACCTCCTATTCGACACGAGTCATTTGCCATCTGCAAGAGTTCATTTGTTGTCACGATGTGTTTAATGCCTTCGTTTTGTTCCATCATCGCCTGCAAGGTTACTGGCTGTTTTCCTTGAAAGGAACACTTGAAATTGATAGTTATCTCCTCCAATAAAAGAGAATCGGTTATGTTTGACAGTCTGTGAAAAATTGATATTTTTGATAATTCCGATGGCTGACTTCCCAACAGAACAAATTTTAGATCGTGGCACAAATCTAAAACTTGAAGAGTCGAAGAATTTCTTGTTATTATTAGTGGAGCTTTCCTCATCAACCACAAAAGTTGGGAAGCCTCGGTGTCACTTAATTCTTCAATGGACTCGATACATTTTAACGACAGTTGATATTGTTGACATAAAGAATTTATTTGTGTCATATCTTTTAAATCACTACTAGCGTCGCCCCAGATTTGTCTCACACAATCTAAACAATCTTCATCAAAGCACGTTACGTTAAATGTATCAATTACTTTTTGTAACAATTTGATATTCTCATTGACGGAAGTGAAAACTAATGGTTGTATATATGGCAATAACACTTGCATTCCGATCACTTTCCTCATCATGTCTCTATCCAACTTCTCTTTCATCCCTTCCCGAATGCTCCATTCTGCTACAAACTGGAGATACTTTTCCCCGATTGAAATATTAGAACAAAAATTATCTTCAAATCTCGTCAAGACATTAATTTTCACTTGATCTACGTTTTCTTGATTTGGGTACAAAAAGAAAGCTTGAAAAAATTCATCGTACTGAGCCAATTTCGCAAAATTACAGTCCTTCTCGATTTGGAACTTGTAGCACTGGTCTGACTTCTGCGACATGTTTATAAACGGATTTGCCTCGCATTTCACTGCCTTTACAAGGATTTTTTCGTTTTCGTCAAAAAACTCAAGCGGTGTGCCACCTTGGGCCTCAAATTTTGCGTTGGTTAGAATTGCGAGTTTATAGCCTCCGGCGTTTTTCTTGAATTGTTGGTAAGATTTAAAGTATTTCTTGATACTGTAGTTTCCGCTGTCTTCTGTCAGTGCTTTCAGTGTTAGGGTTTTTCCTCTGACATGTTTCAGTTGTAAGGCGTACTTTTCTTCAGAGTTGTTGTCCGTCTGGTACTCTAAAACAACGTCATCGAAAGCGCCGAAGTTTTCGTCGTTGGATGATATTTGGAAATTTTGAATTTGCTTATTCGTGACTAGTCGTAGAACGAGATTAGCGACAGAGAAATCTTCGTAGTCTTTTCCTTTGTCTGTCGTACCTGGACGCTTATAAAATGTCTGGAATAGACAGAAGTAGGTACTTTAAATAAATTTAACTGCGTTTTAGATTTAGCGAATTTAGAATCGTGTGCCCAAAAATAGGTTGTAAAGTTTGAATATGCGACAATATTTCATTATTTGAAAAGATAGAAGTTTAAAACGTTATTGATATCTTGTTTTTCCATTTTTCCGTAACTCTGTTAAACTGAATATTTTTATTTTTTCAACAACAGATCAGCTATTTGAAAAGATAAAATTATAACACTTCATATGTTCATTTGACATAAAAGCCTGTGAATATACTTTTGGCGTTTTATCGTTGTGTAGGTTTTCCATCAGTGATAAAATTTGTACTTTAATTTTTCAAATGCAATGAGACAAAAATTGTATCTTTTTTGCAAAAATTGAAAGCGATCCGATTCCACCATCAGAACATTTTAAAGGTATTTTTCTGTTAATTAAGTCTTTAAAATTTCAAACTTCTATCACCTTAAACAACTTAGACTACCAGTATATAGATTGGTCCAGTGATTCTTAGTTGAACAGTACGGATTTTCATAGATTACTAAAACATTCTATAACGCAGTCTAATCAAACTAATTTAGGGTGACAATGGACAATTATTTTCGAATACATAAGTTATTTCATTTAAAAGATGACTTTTTTTAAATAGGATACCCTATATATGAAATTTTGATTATGCAACTAGTGCGAAATAAAATCAAAATGTAGATTTTAAGTAAATGTAGTTCAAATAGAAATTATAAGTAAATTAATACTGTTTTTTAACGAAGTTTGTTAGTCGATGACATTAACTTTTAAAACACAAATACTCGTCTAAATAACATTTCATATATTTAAAATTCTCTTGAAGACAATTAATGTGCATGTATAAATCTTGAACCCTTTTTACGAAACGTCAAATTTTAGATAATTTACATAAATATGTCAAACCGCTGTGAACAGTTACCGAATTTAAAGTAATAATTCTTGTTGATTTCGTTAATAACTTAACGTTATTTGATAAAATTTATGACAGAAGTTTCACCCATATTTTAGAAATACCAGTTCAAATATATATATTTTTGTGCTAATTAAAAAACCGACATAATAATAACAAAATATAATTATCAATATATGTACTAATATAACTCAATTATTATCAAGACAGCATTTTATGTAGTATAACGTCAAAGAGGAAACTCCACACACATTCTTATCGTAATCTTCCCTTATCAAAAAAAAACCGCAATTTCTGTCCTGTGTTATCGTATTATGGGAAAGCGTTGCACCATTGTGGGAAAATTTGCAGATTACAGAATTGAAATTTTGCAAACCACAACACATTGCGTTCTCCTATATTTTTTATTGTTAATAAAATTTACATCTCAAAAATTAAACAATATTTCGTTAAAATGCATTCAATTGCAACAAAACAATTTCAAAAAAATTTCTGCATGTGCTTCAGACAATACTAACAAAGTATTCCCATTGTTATTATTATAGAAAATTAAAGAAACCCTTAATGCTCATAAATATTATTATCTGAATAATGTTCATAAATAAATCTAGAGTACCGTTAACAAATATTGACCATAATGTGCAAAATAAATAAAAAAAAAATCGATTCGTTTTGAAATTTCCCAAGAAATATTTCATATCTGGTTCTATGGCACATGTTTCGCCAAACTGTTGTTTTAAAAACATCTTACTTCTAAAATATGAAATAAAGCACGGTTCTCAAAATTTCTAACACCACTGAGAACTCTATCAAAAAAGAAACTTGGTATATGAATTTTGCCGATGAATTTTTTCGAAATTTTTACAGTCAACTTCCATTTTAACAAATAATTGATCATTTTCGGGCACTTCATTTCATAATTTCATCACAATCACATTTTTCAGCTGTGCATTGTTATTTTTATAATTACTGTGTTAAAATTATTTTATTATTTATCAGAACATATGAAGTAACAACAATGCAGATAACTTACATTTGCCATTACAGTTTCTCTTGTTCATGGAACTTCTCAGATGTTTATCGTTTTCTTTAGAGGAGGGAAAATTTCCAAATGAAACACTTTGCAGTCTTTATAACAACAACGAAGTAAACTTTTACGCCATTTCCTGAGATGTGGAAGCTTCTTTAGTGGCCACTGTCCGATGTGCAATGGCTTACGTATATATAAACTGTTATTGACGCCGCCACAGAATTACTCATTGTGATAACGCAGGTCTGTACTAAATTTTTTCGCCGACATACACCAAACAATTTGCAGCATTTTGTAAACAATACTTTGTCTTCTAATCTTTATGCCCCTAGAGAAAATTACCATCTTTTTAATATATTTTTTTAATTTTCAAAATTGTCTTTAAAACAACCGTCTGTTATTTCCTAATGTCAAAATTGTCAAAATAACGTACCTTACCACAAGTCGAGTCCGATCAATAGTTGCGTTTTATTTCAGCAATTCATACACCTTCAGTTTGTTTGAGGACCGTACTCAAGTATTTTCACAACACAGCGTTGTTTTTTGTATAAAATAATTGTGTAATGATTTTTTTAACAGGTAAAAGGAAAATAAAATCATGTACAAAACAATTTATTTTTAAAGCAGATAATTTACAGAACACCCAATCATAATTTTATTCGGGGCTCCTTCCGACATTGTCAGTATATTTGTAACACTTCTCCAGTCATATATGTCATACCACGGAATGTTTTTTCTTCAACCGAATGGGTTTATTCCAACATTAATTCATTGACAACTGTCAGAAAGTTTCATTTGCACGAAACAAATTAGTCCTAGTTCATAAACATTAACAAATAATATCAAATACTTTGTGACATGTTTTTAATTCCAAAATAATTTATTTGCAGAAGACACGTGTTCCGGTACCTGTACAATATGTACTTTCAACAGGCAGATGGACTTCGAACAATTTTTCATCTTTATTACAAAAGATGTCGCTTCAATTTTTGAAAGTTCTATTGATTCAGAGAAACTGTTGCAAATTGATAGTAATGTAGCAAACTTTAATCAGATATTTGATTTGAATTCACACCCATTAAGCATTCATGTCATTTGTTTTTATTTAAACTCATTCTCGGTATTCTAAATTGCACCTTTTGTAGTAATGAGTAATAACTGCCAAAATCAGAAAGCTGTTCGTTCTGTTGGGAACATGTTCTATGTATTATGCGTAAGGTGAGGTACAGAATAATAACATAAACATATCCGTATGCCATAACTATGGCGGTTTTTATATTATAATTAATTTATTATTATTGTTGTCCTAGAGTAGACGCAAGAGCCTGTAAATCTGGACACAAGGAACACAGAACTAGTAGTAGATGTTCACTACCGCCTCTATTAAGGGGGTGTTCGACGTTAGCAAGATATACTTATAAAATCATTTTTTAGAGATCATTCAGATGGTTTTATAATTTATTTTTGAAGGAAGCACTGGTGCTTAATTCGATGAGATCTGTCTCTAAACTGTCCCATACGTCAAAAACTCTATTCAACACCGAATCGATGAGTAAGAACATTATAGGTGCACACAAAGTTATTGAAGAGTCGCCGCGTTTCCAAAGAGGGAAGTTTGAATGAAGCGAGTCTAGCATAATTTATCCTTTACTGTTGTTACAGTTTTTGAGTAACGACACTATACCTTTTCTAATAACTGTTTGTCTCTAAGCTGGATGACCGGATTACACTTGTGTATTCCAAGAACGTGTGAAACAAGTAAAATTTTAAACCATTCTTCCGTTGGAATGCTTTTCGGCTTAGGTCCCGTGTAATAGTGGTTTATAACCACAAGAGTGACGTGATCAAAGAAATATAATAATTCATTGTCTAGCAGTACGCTTAGGTTCATGATGTGGTCAACAATTTGTAAATTGTAACACATCGTTATCAAGAGTAGGATACGATATGTTTGGAATAATAATATTAATAATATTATTAATAATAGTACCCGTAATGATAGAAGTCTTGCCTGAATGCCGGTCATTTCCGGGTCAGTGGTGGGTCTTAATACTTTATTACGGGATATACCGAAAAAACTTCAACAACTTAATCAGTTATACTACTAAACCAGTACTAAATCAACATTTATCATACAATTCTAAATCACTAATCTTATCACTAATTTAAATAAATTCAAAAACTAAAAATTAACATGTCGTAGCAATCTTCTGTTGTTGATACCCCTAATAACTCAATCTCGTTCTTATAGAAGTTTGCTTCACGTGCTAATCTTGAAATTGGAGAGAAAAATCCGTAGTTAGTATTGTGAAGTTTGCAGCAAAATAAGGGACTACTTCTTAAAGATCTTGGAGGACAACATATACTAAATAAAGAGAGAAGTTCAGGACAGTCAATCGCACCGTTAAATAACTTATGTAAAAAATTTAAATCCATTTTGGTTCTTCTGATTTCCAACGAGTCTATTAAAATTATCCGCCTGATATCTTCATAAATGTACTCTTCCCTACGAAAACCCATTCTCCATGTACAACGACGCAAGAATTTATTTTGGACTTTCTCAATTAATTTAATATACGTTATGTGATGCGGCGACCATACTATACAAGCGTACTCAAGAGAAGAACGGACTAAACTAATATATACCTTAACCACTGCATCCAGAGAAAAATCTTTCAATGAACGAATAATAGGTCCTAATGTTTTTATGGATTTGTTTACAGTCAAATTTAAATGAGAAACAAAACTCAATTTGGAATCAAAAATAACTCTCAAATCACGAACCTCCGAGACTCTCTTAATCAACAAAGTGGCAGCACTATAGTTAAATTGTATCCATGCATGTGATCTAGAAAAGGTATAACATAAAATTTGACAAAATTTACATCCATGTCATTGATACACCAACACAAAATATTATCCAGATCCATTTGTAGTTGAATACTATCATCGATGTCCTAAACGGCTTTAAATATTTTAATGTCATCTGCAAGAAGAAGATATTCAGATGACTCAATTACTTTACAAATATCATTAATAAATAATGTGAAAAGAAGAGGACCACAATGGGAATCTTGTGGTACACCTAATGTGACTAAAATTGGAATTGAGACTGTACCGCCTATTTTAACGAATTGTGTTCTGTTTGAAATAAAACTGTTAATCCAGGAAATAAACATATCGTCAAATTTCATAGCTTTCAATTTGTACAATAAGATTTTGTTGTAGACTTTGTAACGGATTTTTATTAAATTTTGAATTGATTTGCATTCGAAGTGGTGGCGCATCTATCACGCGTAGTGTTGGTGCGAGCTACGGGAAAAAACGAGGAGAAAAAGGGAGATAAGAACAGGGGAGAGATAGCGGGGCAGGAAGGGGTGAGGAGCTCAGGAGGAAGAGAATCAAGTCTAGGGGCTTTTCAAGGAAGATTTTCGGGAAGAGACGGGACCTGAGAATCGAAGGAAGAGTCAGGAGCCTCCGCCGCCTACGCTGAGGAAGGAAGAGGTGCCCTTCCGCATTTTAACAGTGATTGGCTTATCGTATGTAATATCTTTAATAATATTATTTGTCGTAAACGTAGTTTTATTGGGCTCGGGTTGAAACCCACTTCGTGAGGTAACAATAAAGTAGCATTTATTTGAAATCCTTTAAGTAGGTTACATAAATTTTGGCGCCCAACGTTTCGTAGAGTCCTTTAAACTGCGTTTATGATGGCAGGATCCTATTTTAATATGGAACCAAATTTTTTGAAATCGAGCGAAGTTAATCACGAGTTAAAAGTGCGGGGGGTTACGCCCGATCGCTTAGATCTCGATACAAAGCGTAAACAGCTGCGACGGAGACTACGAGAAGATTTGAATCGTGGTGAAGTCCTGTATGCTAATCCCAATTTCGATTTCGAGGCGGAAAAAACGGAGGTTGAAACAACACTAAGTGATATCCGAGCCTTGTTGGATTCTTTTGATGGTCGACGGGGGGATGGGAACAGGAAACTTCTCACCAAGTACTATCATGTAATGGGTCGCTTACATCGATTCCCAGCGACGGCACCCGTAGCTGTGCAAGAATTCAAACATGATCAAATGGCGATGGCGGAAGCATTGGATGAAACCAGGTATGAAATGGTGGAACAAACCTCTCTACCTCCAGATGATGCGACCGCGAGTCCGGCGGGAGTCAACCAGAACACTACGATCCTTAAGCCTACTCCGGTACACAAGTGGAATGTAACTTTTGATGGTAAGTCTCAGCATGATTCGGTCAATGGGTTTTTACAACGGATAGAGGAATTGCGAGTGGCTCGAAATACCTCAAAAGCGGAATTATTTAGGTCTGCTGTAGATTTATTCGATGGAAAGGCACTTTTGTGGTATAGATCGATAAAACCATCAGTCAGTTCGTGGGATCAGCTGGTTCAGGCTTTAAAACGAGATTTTTTGCCGCCGGATTATGATCAGGAACTTCTTAAGGAAATTCATAATCGAACGCAGGGATCTCGTGAGTCAGTTGTTCTGTATCTGGCGACTATGCGCAATTTGTTTAATAGGTTGTCGGATATTCCACCTGAAATTTCCCAATTGCATCTAATTCGTCGTAATCTCTTACCGGTTTTCCAAACCCACCTCGCTTTGCACGACATTAAAACGTTTACTCAGTTGTCGGATATCTGTAGGACCCTGGAAAGCGTTTTAGCCAATCAGGAAAAATTTCGACCACCTCCGCGGCGAAGCATCGCTCTGCTAGAACCCGATTTAGCTTGTCCAGACGGGGATAACCAAGAAAATAAGTTATTCTCGACCCCTCAATTCGTAATACCTCTAAAATTTCTTCTCCACACCAAAAAAGTGAACTGACATGTTATGCATGTCGGAAACCGGGTCATTTTCGCCGTGAATGTCCTAATAAAACCCTGAAAAAACCTACTTGTGCTGGCTGTGGAAAAGTAGGTGTCATCCACCCTAACTGCCCACGGTGTAGGCCGGAAAACTAAGTGGGGGAAAGCGCTTACCATCGGGCCGCCGCTTTCGTTACTTCCCTAAGGCCCCTAGCCAAACTACGTGTTCACAGCGATTAGTTTCAGGGAAGGAAACAATTAATACTTTACTTGTAGAGACATCTCATGATAATCGACCTTATTTGGCAGTAGAAGTTTTGGGAAATTCAATTACAGGACTA